AAAACGGAAATTTATTGTCTCATTGTTCTGGAGGCTAGAAGTCTGGAATCAAGGTGTCAGCAAGGTTGGTTCCTTCTGAAGGCTCTGAGAGAGAATCTGTTCAGTGTATCTCTTTTAGCTTCTTGTGGCTGTCAGGAACCCTGTGTTCCTTGGCTTGTAGAGGCATCACCTCAGTCTCTGCCACCATCTTCACATGTCATTCTCCCAGGGTGTCTTCTGTGTCTTCGTGTCTTTGCATGGCATTCTCCTCTCTATGTGTCTATGTGTCCAAATTTCCCTGTTCTTATAAAGACAGCAGTCATTTTAGTAGGGCCCTCCTTATCCCATATGACCTCGTCTTGATTACATCTGCAAAGACCCTATTCTAAATAATGTCACATTCATAGGTACTGGGAGTAAGGACTTGAACATATATTTTGGGGGAATACAATTCTATTCACTACGGAGGGAATAATTTTGAGGAATGATAAGGTGGTAGAAGGCAGAGCACTTAGTGACTTATTGGACATATGGAATGAGGGAGAGAGGAGGGGAATTGCAACTTGGTGAAACCATTCATTGAAATAGGCAACATAGGCAGGAGAGAAGTATATGGTGTGTTTGCGCATGTTGGGATGGGTTGTGGTGCTGATGGTGGCCCTGGGGAGATGATGGGTTCCATTTAAGAAATGTTGAGTGTGAACCCATATAAGACATTCAGGTAAAGGGGTCTAGGAGTGGAACATTATGGGCCTACAGGTTAATAGGAGGTCTGACAGATATGGATTCAGAAGTCACCAGTATACAGATTTATTTAGACATGAAAGTAGATGTAATTGGTTTGGGGGAGAGTATAAAGTGAGAAGGAAGAAATCCAAGAATAAAACCCAGGAGGAACATAGGGGGTGACAGAAGAGGAGGAGGTGACAAACAGAGCAAGGAGACAGGAAACAAGCAGAGAATGGTGATGAAGAAGTTAGTGGAGTAATGAGTCTTAAAAAGAAACTAATGGTAATAATGCCAGTGCACAGAGAAAATCAAACAAAATGACTGGATAGCATTGTTGCCTTTTACAAAAATTTTCTTGCCAAATAAAATATTAAGTGATGTTTTCAATGAATGGTTGCTAATGTGGCAAATGGACTAGACTCTAGTATTTTCAGGCAACATGGTGTAACTGTTACTTTTCATTGCCGTAATGCTGTTGTTACTATTATCAAAATGTTGTCTTGGGGCCGGCCCGGTGGCGCACTGCTATAGTGCGCCGCTTGGGAAGTGCAGCGGCACTCCCGCCGAGGGTTCGGATCCCACATACAGACCGGTTCCCGCTCACTGGCTGAGCGAGGCACGGGAGCAGCACCGAGGGTTGCGATCCCGTTGCCGGTCCCGGTCTGGTACGGGGGCGACACTGAGGGTTGCGATCCGTTGCCGGACACGGAAAAAGACAAAAAAAAAATGTTGTTTTGGATTGGGTTCTCCAGAAGCACATGCTAAGGCAGAGTTTGGGATATGAGATATTTAATAGCCATCAACACCTGGGAGGATGGGGGACAAGGACACGGAAGTGGGATTGGGCAGTGGGAAAAGTGGAATGGGATGCAGCCATGGAGATTATATGCTCCATCAGAATTGTCCTGGGCCAGGCTGAAATGTCAGGGCCTTTATTCCTCCCTGGATCAGTCACTGGATGTTTTCCACCTGAGAGTGGCATGAACTCCAGTGAGTCCCCTCTCCGCTGTGAGGCCATCCCAGAAGAAGCTGCCAATGAGAGATTATCTGCAGACATCAAGACAACAATACCTTCCTGCAGGGGGGGATTGGGCAGCACATCTCCATACTCACCACAAATGTTAAATAAGTGTATTGAATGACATCATTTTTTTAAAAGAAGTTTTAAAATGCAGAAAGTCGTGGAGATAATATCTTGATAATGTGCCTATGTGTGATCTTCAGTTCTCTATAATTTTTGTTTCTTCCCTCAAATTTTCTACAATGACCATGTATGATTACTCAGATCTTTAAGAGCTCCATTATAGTATTTTTAAAAATGGGTTTTGTAGAACTTTTAATAATAGAGGTAAAATCTTATAAAATGAACATTAAACCCCCCAAAGCAGAAAATTTTACATAGAATATAAACTAAATTTGCAAATGTATAAATACAAATATATTGATTATATGTGCAAAGAAAAAAGACAATAGAGATACAAAAGCTATTGATAGAGATTTTATTGAATTATGGGTTTATTAGAAGTTTCGACTTATAATTATTATTTTTTTTGGTGGCTGGCCAATATGGGGATCCAAACCCGTGACTTTGGTGTTATAAGGCTGCACTTTAACCAGCTGAGCAAATTGGCCAGCCTAGACTTTCTTCTTTATAATTTTCTGCATTTTCTAAAAATTTCTATAAAAAGGATGAATAATCAGGAAAAGGTTTTTTTTAAGAATGAGTGTAAGGTGGAGGCAGACTCTTCTTTCCAAGAGAGGGTCTGGACTCTAGTTTTTTCTCTCTATCAGAAATAGATACAGCAGGAAAGATATTAAAAGAAACCCGTGACACTTAGAACCCATTTCTCTTTTTTTTGGCTGGTACAGGGATCGAACCCTGGGCCTTGGTGTTATCAGCACCACACTCTAACCAACCGAGCTAACTGGCCATCCTTAGAACCCATTTCTTAAGTCACACAACTCAGATAGCACTGGAGAGAATAGACAGATACTTACCTGACAAGTTCAAACCACAAGAAAGCCCAGGTACTAAATTTTATTATTGAACAATTAGAATTTAAGCAAAGAAAGGATTAAAGGGACTACTAAGGGTAGAACATGCACAATCCCCAGGAGAACATATGACACTCATGAACCTTGAGCATGGCTGACTCCATTGGATGAATGAGGTTTGAGATCCTTTGTCAGCAAGCGAAAATGTGGGAACTCCATGATAATAAAGGCCAGTGGATCTGGGTGGAAATACCTGAATAAAGAAATATGACCCAATTCTTCCCCCTGCTGTCAAAGTGGTTCATGCTGGTCATCTGGAAATGTGAATAGAAGCAGATAAAGTTGTGCGAGACTGATGTCTGCTGCAATGTAGTTTACACTTGGGAATTTAATCTGCTCAAAGTTGGGATTAACCAAATAAATTATAATACACCCATATTATGAAATACCATAAAACCATCAATATCACATTTTTAGGGTATTTGATTATGGGAAACGGTAACTGGGAAAATCAGGATGCAAAATTGTAAAGATACCCTGAGGTCAACTTTGGTTAAAATTATTTTCACATATTTTTAACAGTGTTTTTACAGGTTATTCAAATTTTCTTCCTTATTTTTAAAAATCTTTTACAGAGTGTGAATATTGCATTGTGATTCCCAAAACTTCTAAAGCCTCTTGCCCATTTAAGTATGTCAAATGGGAGGTTAAGCCGATGTTCATTTGTTCACTTATTCAGTACAAGTAGGTTGTGTAAGTAATTTGTGTCAGGAGCCAAGCTCTGCACAGGACATCCAAAGTTCACAGTGTATGTCTGAGAGTCCCACAGTGTACATCTGAGAGTCCCGCGTGCCTTGAGGATAAAGGAGTAGGGAGAGGAAGGAGCAATAAGCAGACTAGATGGCGTCACATGTATAGTAACTCAAAGAGGAGTTTTCTGTGGAACCAAGGAGTGGGAATGCTGGTCTCAACCTACAGGAATCAGCAAAGGCATCACAGAGCAGGAGGCGTTGCAGCTCTATGGCTCTTGAAGGCTCAGGGAGGGTTTGCTATCCAGGGAGAGGACAGGCAAAGCATCCTGCACAGACAGAACAGTAAATGTTAATCTGTGCCTTCAGAATCAAAGGCACACCTCACACTAAATAGGCCTCCATGACGTAAGGCAGTCAAATTGGATGATGAGACACTAAAAATTATGAAGCGTTCTTGAGATTCCAGGTGAGGCCCAGGAATGTAAATTATGGCAAAAGGACCAGGCTTCTGGTCCAGTGGCTATTTCACCTTTTCTTGTTTTACCCACATTAGAACTCAGATTTACTCTGAGGATTTTCAGGCTTGTTCTTCATGATGAGCAGTGATAAAGGATATTCAAAGCAGCATGACTGTTAGAAAGGATGTTAGAACTCCCTGGGTAACTTAAAGAGGAAAAAACCCCAATGCCCAGGTCCCACCCAGAGATTCTGATTTAACTGGCTGAGGACTACTCAAGCAACAGTATAAGCATTTTCAATGCTTCCCAAGTAATACTAACAAGCAACCAGGATTGGAAGCCACTGCTGTAGATTCTGAGAGCATTTCCAAAAGGAAAGTGCAAAAATATTTGTAACATGTAGCCTTTCTATGTGATCATGTAGAAAGGAAAAACTCATCTTTTATGTAAAGGAATTTAAAATGTAGTATTTAGAAACAAATACCTATTTAAGAGAGCAGGGTTATATTAAGTCAGAGGTCACTAATAAGTATCTACTGAAGGTATTTATTCTAACTTCCTCGATGACACTGTGACATACAGATTGCTACATTTCAGAGTCGGCAAAGGTTACCATACCTGGGAATGATGGATAGGTCCATGTTGCTTTTATCAGGATGAACATGTCTTCCTGTTAACCATTTTTCTTAGAGCTCCTTTCAAGTCCCTCTTCCTCAGGCTGTAGATGAAGGGGTTTAGCATGGGGGTCACCACTGTATATACATCATGGTAGCCGCAGTGTCTTTCTCAGCTGAGTATGAGGATGAAGGGTTGAAATAGACAGTGATGATGGTGCCATAGAAGAGGGAAACCACAGCCAGGTGGGAGCCACAGGTGGAGAAGGCTTTCCACCTTCCCCATGTGAATGGGACCCTCAGAACAGCACAGGTGATGTGCACATAGGAAGCCAGGATGCAAACAAATGGGGTGATCATGATCAGGGCAGCCTCAGTAAGAATCATTAGCTCATTGAGCTGTGTGTCTAAGTAGGAGAGTTTAAGGAGGGGATTCACATCATAGAAGAAGTGGGGGACCATGTTGTCTGCACAGAAGGAGAGTTGAGTCATCAGCAGGGTGTGTGAAGGGCAACCAGATTGGCAATGACTCACAATCCAGCGAACAGTAGGGCACAGAGCTGATCGGTCATCTTTGTTCTGTAATGTAAGGGGTGGCATATGGTGACAAAGTGGTCATAGGCCATCATAGCCAGGAGGAAACTGTCCATGCCCACAAAGACAAACACGAAATACATCCGTGTGAGACACCCAGAGAAGGAGATGCTGTGATTGCCAAGTATGTGATTGGCCAGCATCTTGGGGACGGCGGTGGAGGCGAAGCAGATGTCCACAAAGGACAGGTTGCTGAGGAAGAAGTACATGGGGGTGTGCAGGCGGGAGTCAGTGCTGATGGCCAGGACGCTGAGCAGGTTTCCCAGGACCGTGACCAGGTACATGCTCAGGAAGAGCACGAAGAGGAGCTGCTGCTGCTGGGGCTGCCTGGACAGTCCCAGGAGGAGGAACTCGGAGACGCTCGACTGGTTTGGCCCTTTCATGGCTCTGAGCTGGCGGAACAGAGGGCAGCAAATTCAGAAACCTAGACATGACCAATTAAGATGCCATCAGGCTCCAGGCAGGACCACATGTACAAATCACTTTATAGAGCTGCTGAAACAGGATGTGCCCACTCCACCTGCACTTCCAGATTCTAATGCTCAGTTCTAATGCTTTTCTTGCTGGACTCATTGATTCTTATTTTCTATATTTAATGTTGAAAAACTCACAGACATATACACAGCCTGACTCTGCTATGTGTGTCTCTGCTTACATTTATCAGTACCCCACTCCCCCCACACCCAACTCATCAGTAACTTATAAAGAGACAAGAAAACAGTTGGTTATTACTGGGTTAATCTCAATTGAACACTTATACATTTATGGGTTTTTCTATGACTACCTGTATCTGGAAGTTGTAGGAAAGGAGGTTTCTAAAAGAACATCACATCTTAATAGACAAGTATCGATGTCTCCGTGGCTGCACCTCACCTGGAGGAGGTTGGTGCTCCTGCTGTCAGGTGTTCTCACCTCTGCACAACTGCCCAGTGCTTCTCTTTATAGCAGAGGTTGGACTGTCCTAGAATGACAGGCAGGTTCTGGCTGAGGGAGGAGCAGGGATTCATGGTTTACACGTGTGTGGTTCATTGGGCAATCACAGAGCAAGTGTTTACAGGAGCCTCCTTGGCCATGAGGACTAGATTCCCTCAGAGACAAAAAGATAATGATTGTCTCACCCACTTTGGGTCCCTTTGGACCAAATAATGATGAGATAGAGTAGCATCTAATGTTTAGGTGTAACTCTTGGGTTAAAACTTAAAAATATTAGAAATGAAGCCACCTGGATGGAGACTAATTCCAGACAAAATCCCCTGGAACTTCATGTCTCATCACCTTGGTGATCTGGCCTGTGTCCATAGGTGTGGAAATTTGGTCATTAGATTTTTTTTCTGGTTAATTGCTTTGTTCAGACCTGGGGATATTCTTGTACCTTCTGTAACACTTGCTTTCTTATGTCTGGTTATCCTCAGACAAGATGAGTGATGCTGCATCTTCTCCAGTTACAGATGGGAATGTTAACAGCACATTACTGAGATGGGCTCAACCCATGGATATGTTTGGGTTAAAGGGTATCCTGAATCAAAGGGACATTGTCTCGAGAGCCCAGTATGCTGTGGTTTAAAAGCACCAGGCCCTTAGGGTAGACACAGTTTGGGAAGTCTCTTCAACTCACATAGTTTAACCTTTTCTTGGAATGGAACTCTGTAATCCACATAGTCACAGTGTGGCAGGGTCCCAGGATTCATGTTTATAAAACATCCATAACTCTTCACATGGCTGCTTGGATCAGAGTATTTGGAACTGGGAATGGGGAACGGCCCATCCCTGTCACCATGTGGGTTGGCTGGAATGCATCAGTCCATCATCTCCTGCTGCCCCATTTGCATCCCATGGTCTGAGAGAGGAGCCAAAGAAGCAAATACACAGAGAGGTGAAGATATAAGCTGGAGAAAACCCTTATGGTTTTCTAGTTCTGTGGTTGAGTTGTTTCCTGGTGATGGGCTATATTCCAGCATGTTTCCTCAGTCTGGTGCCAAAAAATATATATACATATTGAGCAACTCTCCAAATCACTAGAAAGCTAGATAGACAGGTACGATGGTGAATTTTATGTGACAACTTGTCCTGGCCAGTGTAACAACATATTCAGTCAAACATATTCTAGATGTTTCTGTGAAGGTATTTTTTAGATGAGATGAACATTTATATAATTAGCCACTGAGTAAAACAGATTACCGTACATAGTGTGGGTGGGCCTTTCCAATCAGTTGAAGGCCTAAATAGAAAAAGAGACTTCTTCCTAGTAAGAGGGATTCTGCTAGGAGCTTGGCTTTAGACTCAAACCACACCATCAACTCTTCCATAGGTCTCCAGCCTGCTGGTCTACCCTGCAGATTTTCGATTTGCCAACCCTCCACAATCATGTGTGCCAACTCCTGAGAATTCAAAATATTGTGTTTGCTCCCTCTCTCTCCATAAATATATGAGTGTATGGAGATACACACACACACACACACACACACACACACACGTATTTTCTGTTGGTTCTGTTTCTCTGGAGAAATAATAAACCAGGTTTAGAAGACCACTCATCAGTAACAGTGGCGCAAATCATGATCAGAACCAGCTAGTTAGGACACTGATGCTGCTGCTACTTGCATTTCTTTTTTTTTTTTAAAGATGACCGGTAAGGGGATCTCAACCCTTGGCTTGGTGGTGTCAACACCACGCTCAGCCAGTGAGTGAACCGGCCATCCCTATATAGGATCCGAACCCATGGCCTTGGTGTTATCAGCACCGCACTCTCCTGAGTGAGCCACAGGCCGGCCCTGCTACTTGCATTTCAATGCAGCTGTCACGGACACTGGTTGCTACCACCTGTGCTTCTGTCCCTACTCCAGAGACCATCTCACTGCAATTGCCATCACTACTAAAGAAAGTTCCTCCTGGGCTCCTCTTCTCTGTGTCAAAGATTTGGCAGGTGCATCTGATCTGCAGAGCAAGTCACATGTCTGCATTCTAGCTGACGGGGAGGCTCAGAGGCAGGCATCTAGCGTACTGACTTCTATAATGGAAGGCATTCTTTTCCAAACAGAGCCATAAACTAGGAAATTCCACCAACCTTAGAAGTGGGCTCAGATGCCGGGAAGCCAAAAAGTCAAACAAATGTCCAGTAGAGTCATCATCTGGCTGGCAACATGAACATACACACCTTTCCCCCAAAATTTACCCTCCTGAAAAGTTAGGCTGTGCCTTAACATAATTCAAGTGTCCTTCACACAGCTGAAACCCCCACTCGCCTGTTCTCCTCAGAGGGACCCTTCAAAATCTCCTCAGTCACTCCTCCAAGTCCCAGTCCAGAATCACCCCGGCTCTCATCCTGATCCTGGTTTTACATTCTACACTCTCTGACCAGAATCATAAAGTCATCTGCCACCAACATGTCCCATGTTAGAGCAGAGGAAGGAAGAAAAGGAGATGAAAATTAGTTAACAGGTAAATACGCACATGGCATAGCAAGGACAAAAATGTGGTAAGATAGACAGAAATAAGGAGAAAAACAAAATAATGTCCAGTTGTAATGAGAGCCTTACCTACTCCAGTGTTGTCTTAGGGAGTGAACTTCTGCCTGTCCCCTTCCATTCAGTAACGTGGTGCTGCCTCTCTGTCCCCGCCCAGTGCCTGGTGCTGAGTGTGTGACACCAACAGCGTCCTCTCCACAGGGGGCTTCCTTTGGAGGGTCCTCTGGAGTGGAGATGAGCATGGAGGGGCTTTCCAGTGACAGCCGTGGGAGCGACACCGGTGGGAGAAAAGGGAAGAGAAGGAATCAGGAGTGGGCAGACGGAGGAGGTGGCGTCAGTGTCTCCGCTCACCCACAGGGAGCTCTGTAATGACGGAGGAACTTCAGAGATGTTCACCCGGGACAGGGGTGCTGACAGTTAAACCCCTGCATTGATGGGTCATTGGGTGGGGGCTTCCTGGGACAGGTGTCTGACCTTGGATTGACGGAGGCAGTATTCAGAGAAGTGGGGATCCTGAAAGCCTTGTGGCAGCAACAGTCCCAGCAGCTGGGGTCAATGCGTCTTTCATTCCTGAGAAGTGATCGTGGTGGCACATCCGAGTCCACTATGTTACCATTTTCCAGGGCACGGTGATAGCATCAATCGCGGGGTAACCTGCTCTGCTGGGGATAGATGCAGAAGGGAAATAAAGGACTTGAGCTGAGTCTGAAACACAAATAGGTGATTTCCACAGAAGGGAGATGAAGGTGGGAGGATCCTGTGTGAGGCTATTCTAGGCAGAGGGGAGAGGCTGAACCCATAAAATGGTCTGGCCTCTTTGGGAAGAAGCAGGTCTGGAATTAGGGTGCAAACTGTAGAACAAGTTTTAAGGGACATTGAGGAGTTCCACTGGCTAAGTCTGGATTCTCAATGTCTGGAACAAAGAATTGGAGGAGACATTCCAGAGGTGAAAAGCAGAGGACAGTTTAATCTAGCAAAGTGAGTTATCAAAGCAAGAATACACACCTGAGAAGATGGAGCGGGCTCCGGCGAGAGAGAGTGGCTCCATAGCCCCCAGAGTTATATCCCCAGGTGTTTAAGTCTCCCCAGCTGGATTAGTTTATTTTGGTCATTGGCTGAGCCCTAAGTGTAGTCTCTGCTGATTGGTGCCCTAGCTGGTGGGGGAGCTCATTGGTCCACCTGAATGGTGCCCAACATGTGGGCAGAGTCCCTGTCTTGAATTTTGTCTTCGGTGGCCATTTTTGCACAAGAACTTGCGCTCGTCCTCACGAAACCAGTTTTCCCACATGCAAATAACCAGGTTTCCTCTTCCCACTCTTATCTTTTTCTAACTTCCCACTTGTAGAGCTAGGACTGGGTCTGGTGCTCACAGACCCCTCGAACCCATTCACGAACCCTTCACATGCAGGTCTACCAGCTAGGTAACCGGACAAAACGGTCCTTGGAGCCTTGGTTGAAAAAGGAATAGTGTTTATTCATCACACACACCTAACACCTAGGCAGTACAAAGAGAAACTCCAAAACTCAACTGCTACCGGCAAAGTCCACCTGAAAAACTGAAACTGGGCAGCTGCCAGCAGAGTAAACATGTTCTATTTTTAGACACCATCTCTGCAGGCCAGCTTCTGCTTCACAAACTGAAGAACACACAAAAGCAATTAACTAAAAAGATACATTGGTGCACATGTGCACTAACTCTACCCACACAACTTGTTTACAAAGAATTAAGAATGTGCTGCTTGACCCCCAACCAGACCTGAGCTGGAGCCTGACTAAATTATCCTATCTTCCCCACACCACTACACAAGGACAGAAAAGATAAGAGTGGCAGGCAGGCAACAGATCTCAGTAGCCTGTGGACAAGGTGACCTCATGTTCTATTTTGCCAAGAACAGTCCTGGTTTACATCTGTTGTCCTG